TACAGTATAGCCCGAATCACCAATTGCTCTTCATTACTGTGGGACTACGGTATGAACTTTCAGCATAAACTGCCACTGCGGAATAGGCCTTTGATTTAGAATGTTCTGAAAAATCTGAAAATTTGTGCAGCAAGGTTTTCAGGCATGCTGATTTCACTGCGCACCTTTTCATCAGCTTTCTGAGCTCTTCTGATGGTGTAATCACACTTTTGACAAACATCGGAAAAATAGTTGTTACCCCAAACCTGAAATAATTTGTGAAAGAAGCATTGCAGTGAAGTTCAAATTTCATAATATTAGGTCGTCCCGAAAGTATTTTCGCTTTTTTCAAACGATCGCCACGGTCCGCAGAACAAACAACCTTAGAAGATCTTGGAAACATTCGTAGCACTTTTTTATGCTCTTTCAAATGGTCATCTTTACATTGCAGCTTGACAAACGAGCTCTTAGAAAATAATCAAAAACTGCAACCCTTGGTTTTTGCCATAGTCAATTTCCGCTATTTTTCTAAATCCCTGTAGTAATTTCCCGAAGGAGTTCAAGTGATTTTTGAATAGAGCAAACAAAGTAGGATATAAAACAATTTCCTCCCCTTCCAAATCTTACTTTACAAAATTTTTAGAAATATATTTTTAATGCTATCAAATTCTATATTTCGTCAACTTGTACCTCATAGAGCATCACTCGGGAAGCAACTCGGATGTTATTCGATGCAGCATCTTCTCCTCTTTCGGAGACATGTTTTTTTTTCTGATTCGTAAACTTTTAGAGGACAAAATCGACAAAATTCATGTTTTTGATGGCGCCCCAGGATGTACCCGAAAAATTCAAAATCTGATATTTCGAACCTGGAAACGCTCATTTGTTTGGTAACATTAGCAATGATTCTTAATCTATTTTTAAGAGTATCAAAAACTGAGAATTTCTTAGAGTTTGACGAGTCTACGTCTGGTATGGGGCTGCTAAAATTCGATAGTGTTGTTTAAAATTCTGTCAAAAAATTATGGAGAGCTCTGGGAAGTAGAAAGAAATTGTTTTGTATCCTACTTGGTTTGCTCTATCCGCAGGTTACTTGAGCTTCATCGGAGAATCAGTACAAGAATTAAAAAAAAAATAGCGAAACTTGACGATGGTAGAAAGCGTGGTCCGCAGTTTTTGGTAATTTTCTGAGAGTTAGTTTGTTATACTGCAATATAAAAGAAACCCTTTTGAAAGAGCATAAAAAACTGCATCAAATGCTTCCAAGATCTTTTAAGAATGTTTGTTCTGCGGACCGTGGCGATTGTTTGAAGAAAGCGAAAATACTTTCGGAACGACCTAATAGAATCAGCGAATTCCATTAGTTTAGTACAGGATTTTCTGGCTTGTTTAATTATTTTTCTGAGGAAAAAGTAGCTTTTACTTTCTCAAATCCTTTCTCAAGTCGGCATCGTAATCTTACAGTAATGAAGAGTGATTGATGATTTGGTCCATACTGTAATAGGTGAAGCCTATTACAGCTCTAAAGAAAGGCACTTGAAGATCCGCGAAAGACTTGAGCAAGAGAATTATAAACAATCAAACAGTGTTCACATCTTTTGGGACACCCTGTATGTAATGTTGCAGAGTTTTCGTTAAGGAGCAAAGGTTGACTAGAGCCAATCACTGATTGGCTCTGCTATTTCTTCGCTGCTCGTCTGCGCCTCCTCCTATCGCGCTACCTTGCTACACACAAGAGCGCGGGGCGTTTAGCTCTTATACCCTTTTTTCGTTGTTTCGAATTAGATCTTAACAAATCGTGTATCATCCGTAGCTTTTGATGCTACTTACACGCTGGCAACATCGCCGACTTATATTTTTCGATGTGAAGGAAAAATCTAGCAAAAAATTGTTTTCGAAACTCTTCCGTTTTCCTTCCAGTTCAGGTACTATCAGTGGTTTTCTCAAATATTTTAATAGATATTCCTCTTGTCCATAATGTAGACAACCTCGCCGAGCTTACTTTTTCTTCTGCGGCAAAATTGTCTGGTTCTGCAAAAAATGCTTTTTCTTCATAGCATTCCTGGAGTAAGTACACAAGCATCTTTTTCATTTTTAGGGGCTCCTTATTCAGTATGATGAGCAGAACATGCTGACAACGTTACCGGAAGTACAAACGACAAAATAGGGGTGTAATTCCAAAAAAAGCTTTCTGCATATCTTCTTTTTTGGCAATCACCGTTTCCGGAACATCATTGTTTTTAAGACAATCGCAAAAAACAACCTTCCCAAATTTTCTTTGAGTTGTGAGCTGGAGGGTCATGGAGCGGAAACCTGCCACTCGAGATACCGCTAAAGAAAGTCTTCAGTCTTGTATCGTTTACTCAATTTTTAGCAGTTTCTTCTTTTACTATTCACGCTTCCCTAACAACCTTTACTTTTGTGAGGGACAAAGTTCAATACAAACCCCATTTTGGCGGCTTTATCTCTAAACGATCGAAGGTATCCTTGGACTGAGAAAATGGGAGTTCTAGAGAGCAGAAGCTGTAAGTTAAATGCTGAAATTTCATTTCATTACTTCTGAAGCATTTCTTGAACCAGCGCTCCAAAAAAATTGATGTTAAAGGCTGAACTCGCGCGACTACCAAGACACCGCCATAAACGCGCATAGCATTGTACAAGAATATGTGAGTGCGCTTCCTTTGAGCAAAACATATAAAATCTGAGCAGTACTAGAGAGTAGTCTACATGAAATGTTACGCACAAAAGCTTTCGTAACATGCTAGAACTAAATGAAATTAAAAGCTTTTGTTTCTATCTGACAGACAAGAAAATTCCGTATGAGATATTGATTAATTTTAAGAAATCCACCTTTGGCTTCGGTGAAATTTATTCTGCTCGGAGAAGATTTTAAAACGCGCGCAATGGTTTTTGGTGGAACTTCGTCCCAGGATCTGCTTTTAGCGAATCCAATAAAGTGGATCTGAAAGAGCGGGCATTTTGTTCACAGATAGGCCAGGAAGAGAATTCGTGGGTTCAAAAATGTTCGAGTGGAAAGGCCAAACAGTGTTTTAAAATTTGTGGTCCACATGATGTTTGACGGGCAGCAAAAAATTCAATTTTTAATCCTTTTCATTCCATATTTTGATGATAGTCGTCTTCCCCATATTCTTTTGTCCCGTTGTGCTTGTTCCCGACTTCGTCTTAGTGAAACGTGGTCAAGTTTAAAGATTTATCGAAGGCAGTTGCTATGGCAACGAAAATCGCAGTTTTTCGAGATTCTGGAAAAAGCATCAATGACAAACTTTGAAAGGCTGTGGCACTTTGTCGGATCAAAGTAAATATTATAGACGCTTTTGGAATTTTTAGCATGACTAAACACCAATTCACATCGAAAACAATATTTCAAAAGCTAGTTGAAAGTTCTTACACAGAATTCTCTCGATTAAAAGGCTCGATTAGCACAAGCTTGACTCAGATAGTAATCAAATGTAAAAAAAAATTAGGATAATGGCTTTTCTGGATTTTATCGCACAGTTTCTGAATTTTTAGATTCTTGCTTAAAAATCCGAGTTTTGGATGATCTCGTTCTTTCATTTTTATCTCTGCCACCTGAGCATGTCGGAAACTCCTCAGGAAGCTTTTCGAAACCACATGCTTCACGCTTTTAGAGGAAATTTGAATTGCGCAAAATCGTCGTGACCGAAAGAAGTTATCATTTTTTTGAAAATGGTGCGACAGAACTTTCGGTTCAACCTAATATGTATACATTGTTTGATCATTAATATCTTTTTTCCCAACAAGTCTTTTGCCTTGCTTCAGGTATCGTTTTGTAGAGCTGGCTTTAACTTAGATCTACTCTTCATCACTTTAGGATTACGGAACGAACTTGACAAAGATTTCAGGCCATTGGAGGCTATATTCTGCGGAACAAGACCAGTCAAGCCAAAACTCTTATGCTACGGTAATGGTAGCCGCTGATTTCGAATTTGAAATTCCCATTTTACTGTGATGCTTCTTTCCTAAGCTATCCCCGGTAAATCGTAGTAACTCAATTCCCTGTTTGTCCGAAATGTATTTACACCGTAAGAAAGCCGAAAACAGTTGTAAAAAGCTGTTAGGTGAAATCAGCATGCGCGAAAACCCTAGTACACAATTTTCCCGATTTTTTGAAGAAAATTTTGTTAGGTGGTACATTTCACATTGCTCCATATGCTGGAAGTTCGTACCGTAATCCTACAGTAATGAAAAACGATAGATGATTCGCTCCACACTGAAAATTTAAGTTGAAGCCAGCCCTACAAAACGGTGCCTGAAGCAAGGCAAAAGACTTGTTGGGAAGAACGATATTAATGATCAAACAGTGTATACATACTTTACGGACATTTGTATATCGCTCAACTAGAAAGAGAAGGTCACAAAACCTATGTTCATGGCTTTGTCGCCTTTTTTGTGACTTTTTGGTTTTTGAGCATGGTCAATTGCGAAACTGAAGTAATTCTCTTTATTTAATTATAACTCTCCTCTTTTTACGTTTCAATTCGAGGAAAAGGAGCAACAGTAAAGAGCGTAATTTTCTCTACCAAACAATGATACTTCCGGAATTTTCCGTGTCCGGCTTAAAAAATGCCGATCTTGAGTAATTTGATTCATTTGCTTTTAGCTCTCGAACTTTCTTATGCCAGTTCATGGCAAAGATACTGCTGTAGACAAAAAGGCTTTCTCTCTCAAACAAGAACAAATTTAGGAAATTCTACCGAGAAGAAAGGAAGTTATGATTTTCTGAAAATGGTGCGAACGAACTTTTGGTTCAATCTAATATTTGGTTGCGCTGAATGTTTCTGGGTTTTTTTTGAATTCAAACAGTCCCGCACAACAGTTGTAGGATAGCATAGGATAGATTGTAATATCGATTGAGAGACTAAAATACACAAGCGAGATTTTACGCCTATTAAAGTCTATATTTATGAAACAGGTGAGATTGAAAAGCTGCTCCAAGACCTTAGGTGGACTGTGAAAGCGAAAAATTGACCTGCTTTCAGCAAAACATTTTCGATAAGAAAGGAGTATGCGAGAACGATTGCCCAGAAGTTTGACGCTGCGATAGAAGCTTACGACTTTAAGCAAGCAGCAAATACTGCCAAGGTAAAAAATGGATAACATGTGATGAAATGAATGAATACTAATTAAGGTTATCGACAACTTCGTAAGTCAAAAAACTAATGGGAAAATCAAGAACATCATAACTGATTCTGCCGTTGAAAGTGCGCTTTTCCCACTAACAAGGGAATGATCAGAAATTGAAGTGGCCAATCCAGGCAAGCTGCTCTCGCCTCAATGCTGGGCCAAAACATGCAGCTAGCTTACTTCAAATTTTCAAAGCCAGAAGCTGAGCTACAGGGGCAACAATGTGCTCAATTGCGCTGTTTTTATGTATCATTTTTTCACAGTAAAACCGCTTGTAGCTTCGTCCACAGGAGCGATAAGCAGATAAGGAAGACACTCTCGAAGTTAGCGTTTTATACTGCCGAATGATATACAGCTTGTTTAGTTTGGCCACTTCGACTCTTCTGACCATTCCCTTGTAAGTTCTTTTCTCAATTAAAATTTTTTCCAGATGCAGACGCCCTTATAGTAAATGCAATTTACTTCGAAGCAAATTGGTATCACAAGTTTAACAAGGGATTCACAAAAAAGGCTATGTTTCATCATTCTGCAGATAATAAAGAAAAGGTAGAGAAAAGCCATGATTTTTCGTCTGATACATATAACAGTTGTGATTTATTGGTTCTTGCAGGTAGACTATATAAATGAGTACAGAAAAAATCGCATGTATGCTGAGAATGAAGTCGTTCAAGTTCTATCGCTACCCTATAAGGACACATCCTACTCCTTCAATATATTTTTGCCCAAAAAAAGGTAGTCTGTTTTTTCGCCAAGTTATGCCAGCAAATACAGTTACTCAAAGATTCGGCATTGATGAGCTCCGTACAAACTTGGATGGAGCTACGATTCAAAATCTGCTCTCAAAGCTGAGGTCAACGCCTTTAGACGACGTAAGTTAGAAGAATTTTTTTGGCTAACCGTCTTTATCACCTTTTTAGATATCAATTCCCAAAATGAAACTTGAAAAGGACTACGATTTGAAACAGGCTTTGTTGACTATGGGAGTTTCCGATCTCTTCGATAGCAATTTGGCCGATTTGTCAGGGATTTCAGAAGACCACCTGTATGCATCCGACGCAAAGCATAAAGCTTTTATTGAGGCAGGTTTTTTTTCGTTGTTAGCTGCAACATTGAAACAAAAGCAAAGACTTGCTTGCATTCAATAAACAGAGGCAAGAACTAGAATTTTTGTAAAATGTCATGTTGTGGATGCAAACAGTCCACACAGTGATGCGCTACCGATAACACTCGTGCGTGAAAAAATGGCCGTAATGCAATTCTTGAAGATTTGCTCTTTACGGGCATTCTACACGATCTGTCGCTATGGCGGCATGGCAATTGTTCATGCTCAAGTGCTGTCAGTACCGCTGAAACGCTATATTGACCGTTAAGTGACTAGTCTACGCTGGTACCATAATGATCAATCATCGTTTCAAGCAATTACTACGATTTGCTCGAGTAGGTTGACGAGGAAGGAACAACTGCAGCCGCAGCAACTCACACCGTGTACAGACTGGCGAGCAACCGTCCCAATCGAAGAACCCCCAAACGCTTTATCGCAGATCACCCATTCATTTTCATTCTCACCAAGGATAAAAATGCTCTCTTCATTGGGCAATTTGTTTAATTACCCTTTGTGCAATATTCATCTTTCTCGCTCAATAAATGTGGAAAGCATGGGATTTTTTTTCATTTACTGATAATCGATTTTTGTTCGAACAAAGCATTGCCGTTCTAAAAAGATGGTAAAAAGGTGGCTATTCTGTCAACAAACTTATTACCATTTTAATGCACCAAATTTTTTGAAGGCTGAGGTTTTGAAGGTGCGTATTTGCCTAAGTTCATTAAATTTGAAAGTCGCCACTTCAGTATGCGTTAGATTGGCTGAGCGTTCCATCCCTCTTACAGACATGACAAACTGTCGCTGTTTGCAAGTAGTTTTGTTATCGTATATCTTCAGCCACCAGAATAGGAGGGACTTATGAGCAATGTGTCAAAGAAAACCATTTCTGCAGTGTATCGAAGGAGATGTTCTAGCAAATAAATGGCAAAAAATCCAATACATTTAAGGGAATGTTACTGAAATTACTATCCTTGAAGTATATCGGCGTGCAGCTTCTTTAATGCCTCTCGTCAGTTATATCCAAGGAAACACGAAATCCAGTAAAAGAGAAAAAAATAAGGCCAGTTCACAGATCAAAGACAAGTACGGGAGGTACAGATATAAATTTCATTTGTTCACTTCAAAAGCGTAAGACAAGCTGATTGATAGATAAGATCAAGTCTGCCTCATTGATTAATGAATTTTGAAATTGAACGTAATACTCAATCCGCTGTAAACTAGTATATAAATCTGCATTTCATCTTCTCATCACTGGACCCCCCCCCCCCCCCCAGTGCCCACGTGCTCATTGCCTTGTTCTCTGCAAAGGCATTTTCAAGCTCCATTATGCTCTTGATAAACATACTAAATTGTGAACCTAAACGGAGAATAGCTAATTTACAACGAAAAGGCCATGGTGCACAAATCTGTTATATGCAATGGAGAACTGGATCATGAGAAAACAAGGAAGATTTGTGAGAGTCAGAGGGTTGGCAAATTTTTTTCGTAATTTTACATAATTTGTTGATCATTAATTTTGTTCAAAGTGTTCTATACTTTGGACCGAATCGAATGATTATTCGATCATTCGAATAAATCATTCGAATTCGAAGATATTTCGAATAATAATCGATAGTCGAATATTCGAAAACTTTCATTTTCGAATATTGTACAACAGTGAATATTCGAAAATCTCAACTTTTGAATATTCTTCAATAGTCGAATATGCGATCAACAATTCGATTATTTGGTGTTTATCGAATAATATTCGAAAGATTGATAAATATCGACCACGTGAGAATTCGCTGAGCAACAAATATTTGAGAATTCGATAACATATACAGTGTTTCAAAGATATCTACACACCTGTTTCAAAGATATCTACACACTCTCACACTTATTCGTTGCTCAGTGAATTCTCGCGTGGTCGATGCTCATCGATCTTTCGAATATTACTCGATCACCAAATAATCGAATTGTTGGTGTTTTGAGGTGTCATTCCGCAGAATTCGATTCAGCTCTACAGGAAAAACTAGTGTAGCTTTACGTGCAAACTTTGTAATGGATAACCCTCAGCTCTTATTATTGCGAGATTACGGTAGAAACCTCTAGCAAACAGAGCCACTACGAAGGCCATCACGTTTGAAAGAACTCCTCCGAATGAATCTAAAAACTTGTTTTTACGCATACTGATTTTATACACAACTTTTTACGAATTTTTCGGTTTTTTTACATGCAGTCACATTCTGAGAAAAAATATAAGAATGTCGCGGTGTACAGACATAACCTACAAAGCATTACGGTTGGGTCAAATATTGTATCCTCAGTAAGTTCAAATACCCTAGTTGCGCTTTTGGTTTTTTTTGATTTCCTATTCTAGGCAAAATACGGCCCTCACTTTCCCAAAGCCCTCTTAAATTTTTTCAAGGTAATCTGACAGCAGTGAAGTGCTTACTGCAGATCTGAGTCGGAGCAGAACTACAGAAAAGTATCTAGGCTCGGTAAAAGATGTGGGAGAAAATTAGGATCAAATATAATCTCTTTACTTTTGGGGCATTCATTATATCAATCCACAACTTTGAATGATGGCCATATGCTTGAATAGTCTCATGCGGTAAACTGAACTAGTCAAGGAGGTCACGAATTGAAACGAAATTATTTTTTGAATTTCTAAGAAGTTCTTCACACCGTCATTAAAGTACCCTTAGGTACTTAAGTCTCTTGATTTCACCACTAAACTTCCCATCATAAATTGTAACAAAAAATGTCTATTCCAATTATTTGTATAAAACAACTTATTGTAAGATGTTTTGGTCTCCCATAGGCGTCATCTTATTAACATTTGATTTATTCGAGCACCATTTGCAAATCGAATAATATTCGAAAGTCGAATGTATTCGATATTCAAACATCGTTCGAAAGTCTAGTATCCGAAAATTTCGATTTTCGAATATTATTTGATGGTCAAATATTCGAAATTTCCTATCCAATAATATAAAAACGTAAGACAAATTCAAAAATCTAAAAATATAAAAACGTAAGGCAAATTCAGTAAGAGGGAATAGCGGGAAACCGCACGCGCAGTGGAGCGCGGTTTCCCGTGCTTCCACTTTTTTGATTTTCTCTCACTATTTTATTAGGTTGTCCGGAAATTGATGCAGGTTTTAAATTCCAACCGCGGTAAGTCATACACTTCTCATTTCTAAGTAGGTTGCAAAATACCATTCGATAGAGCAAAGCAATCTCTATAAGGTGGCAATCTTGCTTTAGCAACAGCTCTGATCCACCACGAGTTTCGAGCCAAAAACTAAAAAGATTTAATTGCCCGAAAAACTGAGAAAATTCGTAACTCAGTTCTCAAGAATTCTACAAAAATTCTAACTTGCTCACGTAAACGGAATCCACAGAGTCATCTATATACGCCGTTGCCGTATTTTTTTCTCTGTTAGAAATCAAGAGAACGAAAATTTTCGAGCATTTGCCAAAGTGGTGCTGTGCCGTTCTCATATAAGTAGCAGTATACTACATACCTATAGAAGTACAAACGTAAATTTCCAGCTGTCTACAAGCTTTTGTTCCCGAGAAACATCGAACACAGTTTTTCCTAGTCTTGTGGTCCAAGCTAAAATTCAAATTTCTCAAGAAATAAAGCTTCTAGAGAGCTGGAAGTTTACGTTTGTACTTCTACAGACATATAGTATACAAATACTTACGTGGGAATGGCACAGCACCACTTTGGCAAAAGGTCGACAAATTCCGGTTTTCTTAATTTGTAACAGAGAAAAATATACGGCAGCGACGTATATGAATGCCCTATATGGATTGCGTTTACGTGAGCAAGTTAGAATTTTTGTAGAATTCTTGAAAACTGACAAGGAAACCGTGTCGAGTCGAAGTGGCCTTTCCATATGGGACCCATACTGCTTTGAAGAGCACTAATCGGTGATTCCAAATCTGCTTTCCAAATCTGCCAAGCGCCTCTGGACGCCAAGTTATGCTCGTTTTTCAGGTCAAAAAATTTAACACAAAACTGAAGCAAAATCGCCCGGATTTGCTCAAATGGTCCAATATCAAGTATCAGAGCTGTTTGTGCAATGGATACAATTTATTTAATACGCTAATACTTAACATTGCTTTATCTGAGCGCTGGAAAGATTTTAACAATCAATTTTACCTAAATTCTGCATTCATTTTTCGTTCCGAAGAACGGTCATAACTCGGCGTCCAGAGGCGCTTGGCAGATTTGGAAGGCAGATTTGGAATCACCGCTTAATACTCTTCAAAGCAGTATGGGTCTCATCTGGAAAGGCCACTTCGACTCGACACGGCTCCCTTGTGAGTTACGATTTTTCTCAGTTTTCGGGCAGTTAAATCTTTTTAGTTTTTGGCTCGAAACTCGTGGTGGATTAGAGCTGTTGCTAAAGCAAGGCAGTCATCTTGTAGGGCTTGATTTGCTCTATCGAATTATGCTTTGCAACCTACTTAGAAATGAGAAGTTTATGACTTATTGCGGTTGGAATTCAAAGCCTGCATTAATTTCCGGACAACCTAATAAATACATTCTTGATGTTCTTTTCGAAAACTCTTTCTGTTTCATATCCTTCCTACAATCTCATGAGTTGCAGGTTCTAGACACATCTTTTGTTGGTTCGTTAGTTGAGTACCAACTGCTAGCATTTTCATCACTGCATTTGCTTATCTGAATATTCCAGTCAGAGTTCATTTTAAATTTGAGTGTAAATTGAATTTGACTTCCAGTCATGTGTGCGCCAAATACCATCTTGAATGTTACAGATATGGTCATTATCTTATGGGGACTTATACTTATCGGCTCAATGCTCTGCGAGTCCTTCTGCCCTACCATCCGAATTCCGGTGAACTTTGTTTTCAAAGTTGTTCTTCAACCCTCTGACGGATGCTTTATATAAGTTGAAACTACAGGAGCTGTCCAAGCGTTGAATGCTTAGGCGATCTACCCGTTCGGGTGTGGTATTGGTAAGCCCCCTAGGAGCAAAACCTGAGGAACGCTCTGCTGGAGCCGCAATCAAAGCAGTATCGAAAGGTTTTTCGGGAAAGCTGAGCGCTGCAATTTTTGCTGAAGACGTTGTGAGCATTGGGCCTCAAGATAAAGTTGAATCTCAAATAGTTTTCATGTAGCTTTCGGACAGTGTTGAGTGACAGCTAATCAAATCTTAAGAATTCGAATCAAAATAGCTACGAAAATTCTGTTTCTCGATGCTTCTCTTGCACGTATTCATCTTGGAGCACCTCAAATCTGAAACTGTCTTGTCAGAACTCATTTTTTGATAATCTAGCAATAATTTCATTAGGTGACATTTTCCCCCACACTAAGTGAGATCCCCATAGAATTGGAGTAGTCTCATTCGGTGAGGGTCGTCCAAGCATTGTTCCTTTCGCGCAATCGACCTATGAAGCGCCAGCTGAAATGGTCGCTCGCGAGAGTATGAGGAAAAGATTCGTTATTTTTGGGTATTTTTCGAATTTTGTGGAGGGTAGCCGTAAGCATTAGCTGAGATTGTCGCTTTGGAGAAATATGAGAAAGAAGTCAGCGATTTTTAG